GGCTATAGCGTTATTTACACAAATTCACCAGCTGCATGGGGAGGTAAGCTTTACATGTCATTTTAGGACGGCCTATGTATATGACCTTAAGTGATAGATGTTGGGTGTTGAGGAGCATGATTAGTCTCTCAAGGCATCTAAAGAAGTAAAAATATTGAAGGAATATATTACAGAGTATCAATTTTTCTTGTGTACAGAAACAACACTAACGTCTGAGGCGACCTTGAAGATATGAATACGTTCGTGGTCGTATATGCAGTTAATTTAACGTAATAATAAAATTAATTAGAAGAAAAGAGCAGAGGGAACTAAAGCCAGACAGCAAATCTAGTGGAAAGAATGTAGTGTAAAAACCACACAGACAGTCAGTTAAAGCAAATGAAGGCGCGGAAGCTCAAGTATGTACAAAGATGGGCACGATTTAAATGAGTCTTGGAGGACTATTCCTAAAGGTAGCCCTGATCTCGAAAATCTCAAATCCTTATCAATGAGGATGCACGAATGAATGCAGCAAACACGGTGCCATAAAGTATTGGAGAAGTATAGAATAGAATGGATTAAGAAAAATTATTGCATAGAATAAAAAATACAAATGAAAATAAGATTATGAAAAACCGGCCACAAGTCCACCATCTTCAACTGATAAATCGTGATCTGAAAGGATATTTTCATTTTTTATTACAAGGCCTTTATGATCAATAGAATAAACGCCATTTAAGGAACTTATACGACTTCTGTTCACACCTACGACCCGAGTATGTGGGTCCAGGCGACTAATGAATGACGAAGGGAGTTTCCGGCCTACAAAGCGTATAGTGTTGCAATCGGAATCTGGAGAACCAGTTGCTTGGCCTATAGTTACTTCATCTGTTCCCCCGTCACGTCTGCCTTCATCCTCCGTACCGTCGGTATCGTCTTGAACACGAGATAATTGAGCTTGATCAGATAGTTCGTGGTCAGATCGCTCATCTGCTTGGTCATTCTGTAGAGGGGTATCTGGAAAATCTTCAGTTGCTGTTAACATACGGTGATGGATAGAGTCTGAATCAGGCTCTTCGGGATGCGAATAAACAAGATCGTTGTCAGCAGCATCAGCGGCAGCGACCTCGGCAGCCGCCACAGCAGCTGCTTCAGCGTCCTCACAATCGTCAAGTGGAACTTCTACGCCCTCCTCAATAACGACCTGTTCATTTGAAGAGGGCATGATAAAGGTGTGGGGACCGGCGTGGAGTAGATCATCCGCATCAACTACCTGTAACATAAAATCTCAAATTAAATATTTGATGGAGTTGCGTAATGAAGTACAGAGATGAAAATAGCTGTTTGGACATATGATGTTCTGCTAGGTTAGGTTGATATAAGTAATTACCTGATGAACGTCTTCGGAAAGACCATCAACAATAACATCAACATCAACGCCAGAATCTTCTATTTTGACCATTGCTCGTGACGAAGCTCTCCTATTCCTTTCAACAGGACTGAGCATATGTAGACCATTACTAGAGTTCCTATTCATACGAAATTGTTCCAAATGACTTCCGGAAGCGGAATGGACAACTATGACATTTCCATCATTTGGACCGCCCATGTGAATACCAGAAGAATTCGAGTCAACACCTACTGCTGTGCCATTAGTAGGGCTGAGAGAATCAGAAGTAGAAGCGACCATAAATCGATGTCTACGTTGGGAAGGTAAATTATCTATGGAGAGCTGATGCCTTTGTCCATGAGGCCTGGTGTCTGAAGATAAATGTACATCATCTAAGTGGTGTGGTATTAGATGGTGAGAACTTGATGGTTGAGAACGGATCAACCCACCGCCATTTTGCAGGTTTACGAGGCCACCAGATACAGATATAAGGGGTTGATCAACCAGAACACTAGCAAGGCTGCCTCTTGGCACCAAAGGACGCAACTGTGATAAATGAAAATAAATTTAGTGTAAAAAAGTTAAAACAACATAAGAAAGATTTTTGACCTCTTATTAGGTGGTATGCAAAAATAGTCGATCAAAAATATCAGCCCATACTTGAATTTCGATAAAAATTGGTCCGTGCTGTCGGACAACTAGAGCACTTATAAGGTATAATTCGAAGTAATT